CTTCCTGCTCTTCCTCCTTGCTCTGTTCATAGTTGCTCTCATTATATCAAAGAAGACATTTGGTATTTGTTTTTTAGGGATTGACTAGCTTCACTAAGCATAATCTGCTCTAGTGCCATCCATTTCCCTGCAAATTCTATGATTTTGTCATTTTTTATTGCTGCATAGGGAGTCTTTCCCATCTTAGGTTTACAAGTAACTATTTTTTAAATTATATGCCAATATTACTATTTTAACATTTCATTTTCTAATGACTGCTAACATACAGTGAAATATTCAACTTTACTAATCTTAAAAATTACTTATATATTCTTTGAAAGTTTTATACCCATAAGCATGTAATCTGCAAATAGCAAGTTTACAAATGCCTTTCTTTCTAATTCTATGTCTTCCTACACTTATGAAAGTCATACACTTGTTTTTATTTAACTGAATACCATATGATACAACAGGTATCATAAACCTGTCAAGTTTAATATTAATATTTAGCTTTATTATTTTTATTCATCCACATTCAGGCAGATATACTCACACATTCCTCACTCTTTCTATATCTGTGAACTTCCATCTGCTAACTGTATATCCTTTCAAATGATCAGTTTTGGTTTGTCCAAAATACGTCTGTTGAGTTTTATTCTTGAAGCATATTTTCACTGAATAGGGAATTATACTACCAGTAGTTTGTCAGAATTCTGAAGCTCTATTTCCAACTGCTTTCTATTTTCAATGTTGTTAAAATTCTGCTTTCAATTTATTATTCCTTTGAGGGTACAATGATATTTTTTTCCTGACAGCTTTTAAAACACTGTGCCTTTGGTTTTCATCACTTTTACTAGCAAGTGTTTAGGTAGTAAATTTTCTTTTCACAAATTCTGTGTAGGTCTTGTTGTGCTTCTTTTATCTGAAGTTTAATAAATTTGGTCAGTTTTGGAAAAGTCTCATTTTTCTGTTCAAACATTGCCTCTTCTCCATTCTCTTTGATCCTTATTCAATTAGTCTCTGAATCCTATAAGTTCCATAATCCTTAGATTTATATTTTCCATTTTTTGGTCTCTGCTTGCTACATTTTAATTTTTTCCAAACTACCACCAGTTCACTAAGTCTCTCTTCATCCATACCTAACCATACCTTACTAAGCAATTCAATTTTCTTTATTGCATTTTTTAATTCTAAAATTTCTTTTCAGTTCTTTTGCCAATCTGTAATATCACTATATGCCAGTGTAGTAAACAAAGTTGTTTTATAGTCAAGATACTTCCCGTATCTGGAGAGTCTGTGGGTCAGGTTTCTGTTGCTTTTGCTAAATTCTCAATCTCCTGTGTTCCTTCCTTTAATTAAATTTAACTTACTTATTAAAGAGATGGGGGGCTGGGGTTGTGGCTCAGTGGCAGAGTGCTTGCCTTGCATGTGTGAGGCACTGGGTTCAATCCTCAGCTCCACATAAAAAAATTAATGATCAAAATTAAGTTGCTGTGTCTATCTACAACTAAAAAATTTAAATAAATAAATAACAAATAAATTAAATATGTTGCCTAGGCTGAGCAATTTTGCCTGAGTCTCACAAAAAAAAAAAAAAAAAAAAGTTAAAATGACCGGTATGTGTCACAGTCCCCAGCAAATATTTTATTTTTAATGTTTTAATTACTTCATATGCCTGTAATCCCAGCAATTCTCAAGGCTAAGGCGGGAGGATTATGAGTTCAAAGCTACCTCAGCAAAAGCGAGGTGCTAGGCAACTCAGTGAGTGAGACCCTGTCTCTAAATAAAATACAAAATAGGGCGGGGGATGTGGCTTAGTGGTTGAATGCCACCGAGTTCAATCCCCAGTACAAAAAAAAAAAGAAAGAAAGAAAGAAAGAAAAGAAAGGTTAAGGACAGGATGGTGTTATATCTTCTGGTGCTGTTATATCTCCAGCACCTAGAAAAATGTCCGACATACAGGAGACAATCAATTACTAATTGTTATATAATCAAGACTCAGTGTTAAGAACAATTTTTCTCTACAAACTTTTAAAAAAATAGTCAACAAATAAGCACGGACAGTCTTATCAAATAAAAATGCCTCCTTTTTAATTTGGAATAAGAACCAATGAAGGCAGAACTGAAAATTAGATTTTCCTATGAATTTTCACTTTTAAAATTACCTTCTTTTTTTCCAGTGATGGAGAATCTAACCCACGGCCTTGAGAAGACTAGGCAAGTGCTCTATGACTAAACTGTACCCCCCGCCACAAAATTATCTTCTTAAATTTAGCAGAATTTTAAAAAAATGTACAGGGGTATCAAACATGTTCTAATCAGATGAGTAAAAAAGGTCTTAATATTCAAATTAAATAAACTATTACCTGCTGAATAACTTTTACAGACTTACATATTTTGAATTTTATTCATTAAAACAAGATTTAAATTTTAAAATTTGCTAGTAAAAACACTGTAATAGTATGTGCAAATATTTTAACACATAGCTATAACATTTTCTTGAAATGTTCTCTATACATACTTGACAGTAGTCCAGCCCACCACAACCATTCTTTAAGATATGCATGGCCACCTTGACCTGTGAATGAAGAAATATTTTACTTCTTTGGAAGATAATCACACTCTTTTTTAAATTTTTTTTAAGTTGTCAATGGACCTTTATTTTAGTTATTTATATGTGGTGCTGAGAATCAAACCCAGTGCCTCACATATGCTAGGTGAGCACTCTACCACTGCACCACCATCCCAGCCCCAATGATCACACTCTTAAATAAACTATGACAAGTATAATAATAAACAGACTTGTTATAACACACTAAATAAAATATTTTACTAATAATTGAATGGAGATCAGTAGAGTAGAGCAAAGGGATCAGGGGGAAGGAGGTGGAAGGAAAAGAGAAAGATAATAAGATTGATAAAATTACGTTATACGTATATATGAATATGGCATGATGAATCCCATTATTACACATAATTATAATATACCAATAAAGACATAATATAAAAGCAAAAGCATTCAATGAAAAAAAATGGGGTGAGGGTGTAGCTCAGTATTTGTCAAGCATGTGTAAGACCATGGAATAATTCCCAGCACCACAAAACAAAATACCTCATTTCTCGACTATAAGTACTTTAAATAAATTATCTGCAGCTCCACTTAGCAGGAGACTCTAGTCCTTCCTATAAAGACTAAGAACTGATCATAGTATGGGGCTGCCCAGATGCACTTACTGCTTTATCCTTGGCTTTACTCTTCACCAAACCAACAATGTCAGAACACAATCCATACTTAAGCCAAGGTGAATGAATCCTTTATAAACATATTCTTTATGGATAATGAAAGTGTGTGCCTTAGGATCAAGGATGAGGGACTGGGAAACAAATAGTAGATGTTACTATTTTTTACTTTGCCCAAGATGGCACAGGAAAGAGAGAAAGTAATAATTTTTACTACCAAAGCATGTCTACTCATGAGGTCCAAAGAGGTCTAGAAGTAGAAATAGAATGATGGGCTACCCCAGCTTTCACTAAGACTCTGGTTCTATTCATGAATCCTATTTCCTGCTCTGTATTCAAAAATTTAATAAAAGTTTGGGTGCTAATTTGGCATTGGTCCCTCTTCCCTTTGCTAACAACAGAAAGTGTGGGAAGTTAATTGATTTGACATCTTTCTGTTTTCTTATTACAAAATTGATATTTAATTGTCTATAATCATTCAGAAGTCTTAAACAGTTGAAAGGTTTGACTCTATTCATGAAAGAATATGTGTTCTTCCATAGTCAAAAAACCTGAGTATGTAAGTACACTAAAGTCATTTCAAATCATATATGGTGCAACATACCTGCTCTCATGGATCCTTTTCTGGCAAGTCGCAGAAGGCCTTTTTTTTTCAAAATGAAACTCCCTCCTATGAAAATGCTGGAGGTCATAGCCAATCCCAAACCAATATAGAAATCATATTTTCCACGCCCTGGGCTCATTTCGTTTGTCACTTAAGAAGCTCCTGTGAATCACATTGATTACAGAACAGAGAAACTGCTGGCACTGAAGGCAGGGGGATGCAATCTTCACATCTAAACAATACAAAATGAAATGAGATGTCCACAGAATGATCATGACAGTTCACAATTTAAATTTACTTAAATTCTCTTCTCACAAAGGAAGATAGTTTTATTACTGTTATAGATTAAAAAAAACTTAATTTAATACCAATCTAATAATTGCTTCTTCCAACTATGGCCAAAAATTGGATTGTGACATAAAACCAAGTTTTAATTGACTTTATAAACTCTCATTCTATATTTTTATAAGAAAATGTTTCTCATCATAGCTAACCCACAGCAACAAAACTCTCCTAATGAGAAAAAAAAATTCTACAGAATAAAACTCAGACATAACCATACACAAATCTAGCTTATTAGATATTTATCATTTTCACAAATGTGTCCTTATTGAATAATTTATATGGAGAAATTCCAATTTTTCCCATGTATATATTTTCTTCTTAGTAATATATGTGGATATAAACATGATAATTTATTTATTTAACCTATCTGAGGATATGCTGAGAGAAGACCAAGTTCACATTATTTGTTAGCAGAGAATGACAATTCCAATAAAAATGTATACTTGTATACAAGGTTTGGTAGTATTGAATTTTAGAGAACATGACCATGTTACCAGAAGCTCAATCTAAAAGATCTGATGGAAAGTACAGGCTACACAATTTTTTCCACATGAGCCAACTTATGAATTCTGCTGACTAAATTAAAGTGTCCAAAGCAAAGAAAACACACCACTTAGCAACAAGGTTTGTGACTGGTTATAACTGCAAGTCTATCTTTCTATCATATTTTGGGATTTTTTAATCCCACAATTTAACTACTGAGTCCCAAAACCAATCTGCAGTTCAGACAGAATCCTTACTAACAAGCCATAATTTTCCATCCTTCAAGTTATGACATTCTGGCCTTTAATCAAAACAACTCAATTTCCAAACCCACTTATCCCTCAATTACTTTCTCTGTTCACTTAAACAGTGTTAATTAGATTTACACTGTATGTGCTAAATGTTATGCTAAGCACTGTGGATAAAATAGTGATATCTTCTTGTGGCAGGGAATGTTGCTTAGTGAAAGTGCTTGCCTACTATGTGTGAGTCCCTGACTTTGATCCCCAGAACCACACACACACACATATCCAAAGATAGCTTTTAAATAGCTTTTAGTCTTCAATAGGGAAACAGACAAAAGGCAATTAAGTAAGGAATACTAGATTAATAACAAATACTACCAAACTGAGTTGATACCACTCTAAGATATCATTGTCACACCACTGTTTTGATTTGCCAGTTGAAGTTCACTGATTCTTGTACACATCAATGAGTATATTTTTCCTCACCCCACTGACCTGAGACTTTACTAAACCTCATCATTGCAAGGCAAGTTTCAATGGCAGAATGCCAGTTTTTTGGTTTTGGTTTTTTTTTTTTTTTTAGTACCAGGAATTGAACTCAGGGGCATTTGACCACTGAGCCACATCTCCAGCCCTATTTTGTATTTTATGTAGAGACATTTTATTTAGAGCTGCTTAACACCTTGCCATTGCTGAGGCTGGCTTTGAACTCACGATTCTCCTGTCTCAGCCTCCTGAGCTGCTGGGATTACAGGTGTGTGCCACCATGCCTGGCTGAGAGTGCCAGTTTTGAGTACAGACTTAAAGTGGTCCCTCATACTTCTGCTTGCTCATTTGTACACTGCCATTATCACATCAACATTCCTCAGGGAGACCACTAATCACAACTGAGGGAAACTCACTGAACAGAATACCCCAGGTGACTCAGACCTGTGAGCCTGAACAAGTTCTCATTCCTTTATGCTACTGAAATGGCTAATTTATACACAAACAGGCTTCTGCAGTAAGTATAAAAATTTACATCATGCTTTTTGAAAAACAAAAACTTGAATCAGAACACAGGGATCACAGAGGGATGGGGATGTAGCTCATCAGCAGAGCATTTCCCTAGTATGTGAGAGGACCTGGGTTCAATCCCAAGCCCTGCAAAAGAAAACAGAGATCACAGTTAAAGCTGGGGGTTCACTTTATTATTCTTTCTACTTTTGTATATGTCTAAACACTTCCACAAACAAGTTTTTAAACACATCCTTCAGTGCTTAAGAGCTATAGGGACCCCAAGACAGAAACCACTAACAAGTTGCCAAATCAAGGCTGCCCCACAATCTAGGACAAGATAATACTGAAATATGGAAAGAAGAAACTCCAATCAGACAGGTGCTGAGTTTTCTAAGTATCAGTCACATAATATATAGCTTATGGCTATTTGAAGTCCTTTCAAATTAATCTTTCTCACAAGGGATTTGGACAAATATCCCTAGTCCTCCTTGTGCTGCTTTTAAGGCAAGATGAATCTAGGACAAAATCATAAGTAGGGAATTTGAAGACTCCATCCTGCCTCTAGTTGGGTCTGTAACCTTAGATGAGTCAAACCTTAACAGATGTGTAGAAGAGAAGAAAGAAGTTGAACAATCTAAGGCATCACCCTCTTTATGTGTCACATGGTCATCTCAAACTACCACTTAACCTTAATGCTAGTTAGGAGATCCCTGCTGACAGTAACAATTAGTTACTGAGATAGAAATATAAGGACAGAGGATGTAGGGGAAAACTTGAGAACAAGGTGAGAACAAATGATTATGCAATATAAGGTCATTACAAAAAATAATAAAGTGTGTGCTTACACAGTTTAACTCCTGTGTTCACGAGCTAGTCTCCCTTGGCAGACTGTAAGTTCTTGGGCTCCTGCACATTACTCACCTTTTAAGCCTGTGTGTCTCTGTTTCAAAATAGGTCTTAATATGTTTTCTAGGTAAATATAGATGAATGGAATGATTTATAATTGGCCCTAAAAAGTAAAGCTGCCTATTTTGAAGTGGCCATTCATACAAAGAAAACCACTGCATCATTTAGAAAAGCATCCTAAAATGTAAACAATGCTTTAGAGCCTACAAATTTGAAAACTGTAAAACAAAACAAAAAAAAAATTTATCAAAGTCAGCCAGGAAGTAATAGTTCTAGATACAAGTGAAAGTGAAAAGATAATAGTCATAATGTCTGGGGAAATCATAGTTAAAAAACCTAGCCACCCAAACATATCAACCCTCTTGGCAGGCACATCCGTCTAATGAGTACGGGTCACCTAACTTTAATTAACATCCCTGAAGATTATCTGATGTAGGGGCTGGGAGTGTAGCTCAGTGGTAGAAAGCTTGTTTAGCATGTGAGAGGCCCTTGGTTCAGCTCCAAACACCAACAACCAAAAAATCATCTGATGTATAAATCATCATTTTCCTTTAACCATGACCTTCATGAAGCAATGCTCTTTTTTAAAATTATTATTATGCAAGTTCTACTGAGAAGTGACTACTTCACAGTTGTGTTTCTCACTATAGTTTTTAAAGTTCTGTGGCTCACAAGTCACATTTTTGAAGGTCTAAAAAGAACAAATCAAACATATAATCTGAATATTCCAGAATCAATAAAATGGAACTTTGTTATCTGCAAAGATGATATCCAGAAATAATTCAGTTCTATTTTATAGTCCTTATCTCCAAGTAACAACAGCCTTACAAATCCAAATTTGTACTTTACTAACATGAACCTGACCTTATTTTTTTTTTACCTGCTGTACTAGGAATTGAATACACAGGAGCTTTATCACAGAGCTACCTACCCAGCCCTTTTTATTTGTTTCTATAATACTAAGAAATGAATCTAGCCAAGTGTTCTATCACTGAGCGATATCCCCAGCCCTCACCCAGCTCTTTTTGACCAGGGTATTGCTAGATTGCCTAGGCTGGCTTTGAACTTGTGATACTCCTGATCTTCCTGCCTCAGCCTCCTAAGTACCTGGGACTACAGGTGTATGCCACCATGCCCAGATAAACCTGACTTTTAAATGCCAAATATACAACTATTTTTGTAATATTTACTAAAAATGTTAACTTTTATTGAATGGAAGCTATATACATGTGGTATAAGGTCTACAATTAAGACCAATATTATGTGCTGACCCAATATCTGGTAAAACTAGAAAAACTTTCAATGGCCTCACTACAAATTTCCCTCCCCACTCTGCTCCTATTAATAAGATCGTGAAGCCAAACAACTCTCATTTTCATGGCACCCAGGCACTGTCCTACTCATCCCATGTAGTGGGTTTCACTGCCCTGGCAGTCTAAGGAATTATTAAAGTAAGCAATTACATCCAATTCAGGAACCAAAAAGTACTCATTATCTCAAAGACTGCCTCCCACAGCTCTTGGTTCTTCATTCTGTTGTGAACAACTCCCGTGAGTTTTTTTTTGTTTTTTAATATTTTTTAGTTGTATTTGGACACCATACCTTTATTTTATTTATTCATTTTTATGTGGTACTGAGGATTGAATCCAGTGCCTCATCCATGCTAGGTGAGCACTTTAGCACTGAGCCACAACTCCTCCCATAATTTTGTATGGTGTATAGTGTATTTCTCCCCAGGGCAGGAGGACATGTGACTAAGAAACTGCTATTCATCTCATGTGCCCAGTGTTAGTGTTGTGGGGAGAGAATCCCTTCCCAACCTACAAAGTGAAGAGGTGATTAAAAAATAATGCATATAATAAAATCTTATTCATTTTATCCTAAGGTCAATGCAAGTTAATTGTTCCTAACTTTACCATGGCTTATATATGAATTTTATCCACAATATTTAACCAAGTTTCATAATGCTATTTCAAATATATTCTTCTCTTTCCATTTTTTAAAAACTATTTTTCTTAGTTGTAGGTGGACACAATACCTTTATTTATTTATTTATTTTTATGTGGTGCTAAAAATTGGACCCAGTGCCCCATATGTACGAGGAAAGTGCTCTGCCACTGAGCCACAATCTCAGCCCTTCTCTTTCCTTTTTATCTTTATCTGTGGACTAGGAAAATTTCAAACACATAAAGCAGAAACCCTTTAAGGACCAGGTGTGTTGGGGCTGGGGATGTGGCTCAAGCGGTAGCGCACT